AAAAGTCCCTGTGAGGACCACCCTTTCCTGTTTCCCATCCCCCTCTCTCTCCTTTCTCTGCTCTCTTCCCTCTGGTCTCTCTCTCCTCTCTCTGTCTGGTCTCTCTCTCCTCTATCTCTGGTCTCTCTCCTCTCTATCTGGTCTCTCCCCTCTCTCTCCTGTCTCTCTCCTCTCTCTCCTGTCTCTCTCCTCTCTCTCTGGTCTCTCTCCTCTCTCTCCTGTCTCTCTCCTCTCTCTCTGGTCTCTCTCCTCTCTCTCTGGTCTCTCCCCTCTCTCTCCTGTCTCTCTCCTCTCTCTCTGGTCTCTCTCCTCTCTCTCTGGTCTCTCTCCTCTCTCTCTGGTCTCTCCCCTCTCTCTCCTGTCTCTCTCCTCTCTCTCTGGTCTCTCGCCTCTCTCTCCTGTCTCTCTCCTCTCTCTCCTGTCTCTCTCCTCTCTCTCCTGTCTCTCTCCTCTCTCTCTCCTCTATCTCTGGTCTCTCTCCTCTCTATCTGGTCTCTCCCCTCTCTCTCCTGTCTCTCTCCTCTCTCTCTCCTGTCTCTCTCCTCTCTCTCCTGTCTCTCTCCTCTCTCTCTGGTCTCTCTCCTCTCTCTCTGGTCTCTCCCCTCTCTCTCCTGTCTCTCTCCTCTCTCTCTGGTCTCTCTCCTCTCTCTCTGGTCTCTCCCCTCTCTCTCCTGTCTCTCTCCTCTCTCTCCTGTCTCTCTCCTCTCTCTCTGGTCTCTCTCCTCTCTCTCTGGTCTCTCTCCTCTCTCTCTGGTCTCTCCCCTCTCTCTCCTGTCTCTCTCCCCTCTCTCTGGTCTCTCTCCTCTCTCTCCTGTCTCTCTCCTCCTCTCCTGTCTCTCTCCTCTCTCTCCTGTCTCTCCCCCCTCTCTCTGGTCTCTCTCCTCTCTCTCCTGTCTCTCTCCTCTCTCTCTGGTCTCTCCCCTCTCTCTCCTGTCTCTCTCCTCTCTCTCCTGTCTCTCTCCTCTCTCTCTGGTCTCTCTCCTCTCTCTCTGGTCTCTCTCCTCTCTCTCTGGTCTCTCCCCTCTCTCTCCTGTCTCTCTCCCCTCTCTCTGGTCTCTCTCCTCTCTCTCCTGTCTCTCTCCTCCTCTCCTGTCTCTCTCCTCCTCTCCTGTCTCTCTCCTCTCTCTCCTGTCTCTCCCCCCTCTCTCTGGTCTCTCTCCTCTCTCTCTCTCTCTGGTCTCTTTCCCTGGTCTCTCCCCTCTCTCTGGTCTCTCTCATCTCTCTCTCTCTCTGGTCTCTTTCCCTGGTCTCTCCCCTCTCTCTGGTCTCTCTCATCTCTCTCTCTCTCTGGTCTCTTTCCCTGGTCTCTCCCCTCTCTCTGGTCTCTCTCTCTCTCTCCTCAGTCAGACTTTTACGACCACTCTTCCCACACTTCTCACTCTTTTACAGGGCCTCAGTGAGCTCCAGGCCACGCCCTATTCCTGGTGCAGTGAATGTGTTGTTGTGTTGAGGACCAGTGATCTGGAGCTGTTTTTTGTCCTCCACCCAGTGTGGGCGGGTCCCGGCTCAAAAACGTCCGTGCACTGACATTCTTGCAATACCACTCCAGGCCTGTGGGGGTGTACCCAGAAGGAGAATTATCCAATTTGAATGGCGTCTTCTTTCCTCTCGAAAACGTCTTAACAGGATGCTCCAAAAGTGTCATGGTGGGTACTGCAGCCTCCACCAGTACCATGGTCCTCCACCATGAGAGGCTGCAGTACCATGGTCCTCCACCATGAGAGGCTGCAGTACCATGGTCCTCCACCATGAGAGGCTGCAGTACCATGGTCCTCCACCATGAGAGGCTGCAGTACCATGGTCCTCCACCAGGTTGAGAACCCTTCTGTGGTGAAGACAGTTTTAGCTTCTTCAACAAGAGCTCATGGTGTCAGTGACAGTGAATGAGTCAGAGATATCAATATCTCTGACTCATTCTGTCTGAGCATGAGTCAGAGCTCGTCCTCTCAGTGGGGGGTCTGTCCTGGTGACGATGAGGGAGACATCTCGTGTTCTGAATCTCTCTCTATCAGCTCCCAGCCCAAAGAAATAGTGACTCACAGGGACTCACAGTGAAGTATGCACAAGATTAAGTTGGAGACAATTTCAAGACTCTCTCTGTAGAACAAAAATGTTATTTATTTAAAAAGATTCCAGCTATCACCTGCATTTGTCCCACAGTGGGGAAATTCCAGTGTTGCCTCACAAGTTACAGAGCAGTAAATGTGTCTCAGCCTAATAAGAAGTCTGCAGCAACCTCAAATTTGATTGGTTTGTATGTTACGGTCCAGACCGGCACTTTATGCTACTGGCACTTTATGCTACCGTCACTTTATGCAACCGTCACTTTATGCTACTGTCACTTTATGCTTCTGTCACTTTATGCTACTGGCACTTTATGCTACTGTCACTTTATGCTACTGTCACTTTATGCTACTGGCACTTTATGCTTCTGTCACTTTATGCTACCGTCACTTTATGCAACCGTCACTTTATGCTACTGTCACTTTATGCAACCGTCACTTTATGCAACCGTCACTTTATGCTTCTGTCACTTTATGCTACCGTCACTTTATGCTACCGTCACTTTATGCAACCGTCACTTTATGCTTCTGTCACTTTATGCTTCTGTCACTTTATGCTACCGTCACTTTATGCAACCGTCACTTTATGCTACTGTCACTTTATGCTTCTGTCACTTTATGCTACTGTCACTTTATGCTACCGTCACTTTATGCTACCGTCACTTTATGCTACTGTCACTTTATGCTTCTGTCACTTTATGCTACCGTCACTTTATGCTACCGTCACTTTACTGCACTCTACCGCACTCTTAACAGTCAGTTGTGTGCACTTAGTGCACTGTATGTAGTAAACTGAAGACATATATGAGATATTTATATTTGCCTTATTGTTTTTTCTGCTTTAACTTGTTTGCACCGAGAGCCAAAGCAGTTTGTGACTTCCTGTTTCTCACTCAGCAATGAAAGGATTCTGATTCTGAGATCTGCTCCACACATCCTCCTGAACCGAGCCATTCTTGATGTATTTTTGTGTTATTCTTGTAGTGTTTTTGTGGTGTTCCTATGGTATTGTCGTGACCCTTTGATGGTATCGTGCCCGCTCCGTTGCCCTGACGTCAGTCGATATCTCGTGACCATCTCAGATTCACACACACGTAAACAAACGCCATATAAAGGCCTGGCCCTGTGTGCAGCAGAGTCACTGAGGACTGTTGTAAAGAGGACATAAAGGAGCTCAAGGAGAGACTGGGGAAGAGATTTATGTTCTATAAAAGGTCTGCCTCCCCCATGTGGCCTGCCTCCCCCTCTGGCCTGCCTCCCCCATGTGGCCTGCCTCCCCCTCTGGCCTGCCTCCCCCATGTGGCCTGCCTCCCCCTCTGGTCTGCCTCCCCCATGTGGCCTGCCTCCCCCATGTGGCCTGCCTCCCCCTCTGGCCTGCCTCCCTCATGTGGCCTGCCTCCCCCTCTGGCCTGCCTCCCCCATGTGGCCTGCCTCCCCCTCTGGTCTCTCTCTGGTCTGTCTGTGGTCTCTCTTTCACTGGTCTCTCTCTGCTCTCTCTCTCACTGGTGTCTATCTGGTCTCTCTCTCTGGTGTGTGTGTCTCTCTCTCTGGTCTCTCTGGTCTCTCTCTGGTCTCTCTGGTCTCTCTCTGGTCTCTCTGGTCTCTCTCTGGTCTCTCTGGTCTCTCTCTGGTCTCTCTCTGGTCTCTCTGGTCTCTCTCTGGTCTCTCTCTGGTCTCTCTCTGGTCTCTCTGGTCTCTCTCTGGTCTCTCTGGTCTCTCTGGTCTCTCTCTGGTCTCTCTGGTCTCTCTCTGGTCTCTCTGGTCTCTCTCTGGTCTCTCTGGTCTCTCTCTGGTCTCTCTCTGGTCTCTCTCTGATCTCTCTCTGGTCTCTCTCTGGTCTCTCTCTGGTCTCTCTCTGGTCTCTCTGGTCTCTCTCTGGTCTCTCTCTGGTCTCTCTCTGATCTCTCTCTGGTCTCTCTGGTCTCTCTCTGATCTCTCTCTGATCTCTCTCTGGTCTCTCTCTGGTCTCTCTCTGGTCTCTCTCTGGTCTCTCTCTGGTCTCTCTCTGGTCTCTCTCTGGTCTCTCTGGTCTCTCTCTGGTCTCTCTGGTCTCTCTCTGGTCTCTCTCTGGTCTCTCTCTGGTCTCTCTCTGGTCTCTCTCTGATCTCTCTCTGGTCTCTCTGGTCTCTCTCTGGTCTCTCTCTGGTCTCTCTCTGGTCTCTCTCTGGTCTCTCTTTTAACCTGGATTTGAACATTGTCAGAGAAGAAGCCCGTCTCACATTTTTGGCAGACTGTTCCATATTCGTGCAGCATGAATCCAGCTGCTCTGGGGTCAGACATGTTGACTACAGTGTGTCTAAATAAACACACTGCTCTCCCTCAGTGAGTGTGGAATGTGTCTGTCAGAGTGAGCAGCGGCTAACACACACTCAAAACACATGCTACGCTAGTAACGCTACCGTCTTAACATCTAATAACATCTATGCTAGTAACGCTACCGTCTAACATCTAATAACATCTATGCTAGTAACGCTACCGTCTGACATCTAATAACATCTAAGTCAGAAACTAGCTCTGAGACTAGCTGCAACAACTAGCTTAAAAACGTGAAGGTTTGAGTTCAAATAAAAAAACCTTTGAATGTGGTGAGAGCGATTTGGTAAACGCTGGTTTGTCATTTATGGTTGTCTCGTGATGAAGTGAAAGCTGAGGATCTGAGACGTCCTTAAATGTAAAAAACTAGCACCATAAACCTGCACCATGAAGACTCTGTGTTTGAGAGAACGGTTCAGGACTCAGCAGATAAACCCACCAAGCCATTCACAATAGCAGCACTGCTAACCACACATCACATCTCAGTGGATCGTCCAGCAGACTGCAGAGGTGTCAGTCTCTTTACTGGACTAGACTGGACTAGACTGGACTAGACTGGACTAGACTGGAACCAGTTCAGTCCTCATTATCTGACAGACTGCTAATACTTTAACACTAGTATTGTTAGATCCAACAGTCTATCGTCCAGACACATGTCCGCCACATGGTCCCGCCACATGGTCCCGCCACATGGTCCCGCCACATGGTCCAGCTCCATGGTCCCGCCACATGGTCCCGCCACATGGTCCAGCTCCATGGTCCCGCCACATGGTCCCGCCACATGGTCCCGCCACATGGTCCCGCCACATGGTCCAGCTCCATGGTCCCGCCACATGGTCCAGCCACATGGTCCAGCTCCATGGTCCCGCCACATGGTCCAGCCACATGGTCCAGCTCCATGGTCCCGCCACATGGTCCAGCCACATGGTCCCGCCACATGGTCCAGCTCCATGGTCCCGCCACATGGTCCAGCCACATGGTCCAGCTCCATGGTCCAGCCACATGGTCCAGCTCCATGGTCCAGTCACATGGTCCAGCCCCATGGTCCAGCCCCATGGTCCAGCCCTGCAGGCCCTAGTGGCTCGTATCTCTGACCCCAGCCCTTGTTGAGGACAGATAACAGACGTGCCTGAGTCTGTTGGAACATGACATCAGAGACGAGAACTTTCTGTTACTCACAACTGACTCCATGAAGGACCATGAAGGACCATGAAGGACCAGGAAGGACCAGGAAGATACTATAGATTATACACGAGATGACTATGAAGGACCATGAAGATACAATAGATTATGAGTGTGTTCACAGTAAAGTGACAATTGAAGCTGGACTTTAAAAGGTTATAACTTAAAAACTAAAAGTACTTTCATAGATTGGAAGAAAGATTTCAAACACAGACAGATTGAAGAGATAGTGTGGAAAAAATCTAAAGGAAAGATTGACATAAAAATGTTTACAACATTTTAAACGACCAAATGAGCCTCTGATTGGACCATTCTACTGTGACTCAGTTACATAGGAAATAAAATGTCCTCAGTCTGAAAAAGCAGAAGATGAACTCCCACAGATTTACATGAACACAACAGAAGGAAATCACTTCATATAAAAAGGAATCGTAAAAAAATAACAAATAATTAATGAATTAAATGACCCCTGAAAAAATTATAACGGACGTGATGAGGACGGTCCTCTTTTCTCTAAAAATTAAACTTGAGAAAAAAAAATCTGGTCTGTTTTCACATTTATTTGCTTGACAATATGAAAGTATCACTTTGTTTCTACTTTGTGTAAAAAAGTAGAATCTCTGAATCAAATGTGGATCTGAAAAAACCATCAAACTTCCACAAAGCTCATTCCGTCAAATCATCATCGTTACTTAAAATAAACAGGACGCTGCAGGAAACTTGTCTAAAGTATAAAACAGTTTTGTTCTAGAAACTTCTAAAGAACAGAGGAGGTGTTTGGAAACATGAAAAACATTAAATATCTTCTGATTATTCACATCTAATTTTTGGCCTTTTGTCACACTTTTGTGCCCTTTAGTGTGAACAAGCCCAGATACATGGGATGACCATGAAGGACCATGAAGATACAATAGATTATACATGGGATGACCATGAAGGACAATGAAGATACTATAGATTATACATGGGATGACCATGAAGGACCATGAAGATACAATAGATTATACATGGGATGACCATGAAGGACCATGAAGATACTATAGATTATACATGGGATGACCATGAAGGACCATGAAGATACTATAGATTATACATGGGATGACCATGAAGGACCATGAAGATACTATAGATTATACATGGGATGACCATGAAGGACCATGAAGATACTATAGATTATACATGGGATGACCATGAAGGACCATGAAGATACAATAGATTATACATGGGATGACCATGAAGGACCATGAAGATACAATAGATTATACATGGGATGACCATGAAGGACCATGAAGATACTATAGATTATACATGGGATGACCATGAAGGACCATGAGAAGATACTATAGATTATACATGGGATGACCATGAAGGACCATGAAGATACTATAGATTATACATGGGATGACCATGAAGGACCATGAAGATACTATAGATTATACATGGGATGACCATGAAGGACCATGAAGATACTATAGATTATACATGGGATGACCATGAAGGACCATGAAGATACTATAGATTATACATGGGATGACCATGAAGGACCATGAAGATACTATAGATTATACATGGGATGACCATGAAGGACCATGAAGATACTATAAAACTACAGACTGTGGACTGCAGAGGCTGTAGAAACACAGGTTTAACTACAGCTCATAAACAACAGAACAAAACAATATGGAAAGAATAAAATCACACCAGACTTTAATGAGAAACACCTGGACCTGCCATCGAAGTATTTGTAGTTTTTATGACTTTGATGTAAACTGTTGACTCTGTTTGGATGTTTACTGGAGGTTTCAGATCTTCGATCAATACCAGACCAGAGGAAACTCTCACTGCTATTTATACAGAAGCAGAGGATTGTGGGAAACGGTGCAGAGACGGCTGTGTGAGAGTGGGGCATGGATCTATTATAATAACTGGAGTGTTACAGCTTGTAGCTGAATAACTCATGTGCTCGGGGGATTCTCGCGGTACTGCAGACTGAACCAGACTGAACCAGACTAAATTCACGTGGGCTACCCAGAAATGTGAGGCAGTGAAGCAGTGAGGCAGTGAAGCAGTGTAGCAGTGTAGCAGTGAAACAGTGAAGCAGTGAAGCAGTGAAGCAGTGTAGCAGTGAAACAGTGAAGCAGTGAAGCAGTGAAGCAGTGAAGCAGTGAAGCAGTGAGGCAGTGAAGCAGTGAAGCAGTGAAGCAGTGTAGCAGTGAAGCAGTGAAGCAGTGTAGCAGTGAGGCAGTGAAGCAGTGTAGCAGTGAAGCAGTGAAGCAGTGAGGCAGTGAAGCAGTGAGGCAGTGAAGCAGTGAAGCAGTGAGGCAGTGAAGCAGTGTAGCAGTGAAGCAGTGAAGCAGTGAGGCAGTGTAGCAGTGAAGCAGTGAAGCAGTGTAGCAGTGAAGCAGTGAAGCAGTGAGGCAGTGAAGCAGTGAAGCAGTGAGGCAGTGAAGCAGTGAGGCAGTGAAGCAGTGTAGCAGTGAAGCAGTGAAGCAGTGTAGCAGTGAGGCAGTGAAGCAGTGTAGCAGTGAAGCAGTGAGGCAGTGAAGCAGTGTAGCAGTGAAGCAGTGAAGCAGTGAGGCAGTGAAGCAGTGAGGCAGTGAAGCAGTGAAGCAGTGAGGCAGTGAAGCAGTGAAGCAGTGAAGCAGTGAAAGAGTGAGGCAGTGTAGCAGTGAAGCAGTGTAGCAGTGAGGCAGTGAAGCAGTGAGGCAGTGTAGCAGTGAGGCAGTGTGGCAGTGAGGCAGTGAAGCAGTGTAGCAGTGAAGCAGTGAAGCAGTGAAGCAGTGAAGCAGTGAAGCAGTGAGGCAGTGTAGCAGTGAAGCAGTGAAGCAGTGTAGCAGTGAAGCAGTGAAGCAGTGAGGCAGTGAAGCAGTGTAGCAGTGAGGCAGTGAAGCAGTGAGGCAGTGTAGCAGTGAGGCAGTGTAGCAGTGAAGCAGTGAAGCAGTGAAGCAGTGAATCAGTGAGGCAGTGAAGCAGTGTAGCAGTGAGGCAGTGAAGCAGTGAGGCAGTGTAGCAGTGAGGCAGTGTAGCAGTGAAGCAGTGAGGCAGTGTAGCAGTGAAGCAGTGTAGCAGTGAAGCAGTGTAGCAGTGTAGCAGTGTAGCAGTGAGGCAGTGAAGCAGTGAGGCAGTGTAGCAGTGAAGCAGTGTAGCAGTGAAGCAGTGTAGCAGTGAAGCAGTGAAGCAGTGAAGCAGTGAAGCAGTGAGGCAGTGTAGCAGTGAGGCAGTGTAGCAGTGAAGCAGTGAAGCAGTGAGGCAGTGTAGCAGTGAAGCAGTGAGGCAGTGAAGCAGTGTAGCAGTGAAGCAGTGAGGCAGTGAGGCAGTGAAGCAGTGTAGCAGTGAAGCAGTGAGGCAGTGTAGCAGTGAGGCAGTGTAGCAGTGAAACAGTGAAGCAGTGAAGCAGTGAAGCAGTGAGGCAGTGAAGCAGTGAAGCAATGAAGCAGTGAAGCAGTGAAGCAGTGTAGCAGTGAAGCAGTGTAGCAGTGAAGCAGTGAGGCAGTGTAGCAGTGTAGCAGTGTAGCAGTGAGGCAGTGAAGCAGTGTAGCAGTGAAGCAGTGAGGCAGTGAGGCAGTGAAGCAGTGAAGCAGTGAAGCAGTGTAGCAGTGTAGCAGTGTAGCAGTGAAGCAGTGTAGCAGTGTGGCAGTGAGGCAGTGTAGCAGTGAGGCAGTGAAGCAGTGTAGCAGTGTAGCAGTGAAGCAGTGTAGCAGTGAAGCAGTGAGGCAGTGAAGCAGTGAAGCAGTGAAGCAGTGAAGCAGTGAGGCAGTGTAGCAGTGAGGCAGTGAAGCAGTGAGGCAGTGAAGCAGTGAAGCAGTGAAGCAGTGAAGCAGTGTAGCAGTGAAGCAGTGAAGCAGTGAGGCAGTGTAGCAGTGTAGCAGTGTAGCAGTGTAGCAGTGTAGCAGTGTAGCAGTGAGGCAGTGAAGCAGTGAAGCAGTGAAGCAGTGAGGCAGTGTAGCAGTGAAGCAGTGTAGCAGTGAAGCAGTGTAGCAGTGAAGCAGTGAGGCAGTGTAGCAGTGAGGCAGTGAAGCAGTGAAGCAGTGAAGCAGTGAAGCAGTGAGGCAGTGTAGCAGTGAGGCAGTGAAGCAGTGAGGCAGTGAAGCAGTGAAGCAGTGAAGCAGTGAAGCAGTGAAGCAGTGAAGCAGTGAGGCAGTGTAGCAGTGTAGCAGTGAGGCAGTGAAGCAGTGAGGCAGTGAAGCAGTGAGGCAGTGAAGCAGTGAAGCAGTGAAGCAGTGAGGCAGTGAAGCAGTGAAGCAGTGTAGCAGTGAAGCAGTGAGGCAGTGAAGCAGTGAGGCAGTGAAGCAGTGAGGCAGTGAGGCAGGGAAGCAGTGAGGCAGTGAAGCAGTGAAGCAGTGAAGCAGTGAGGCAGTGAAGCAGTGAAGCAGTGAAGCAGTGAAGCAGTGAAGCAGTGAAACAGTGAAGCAGTGTAGCAGTGAAGCAGTGAAGTGGCAGTCCAGGGGGGAGCCCTGTGTCACCTCCGTGTTCACGGAGATGACTTTATATAACAGCAGTATGTGTTCACGGAGGTGACTTTATATAACAGCAGTATGTGTTCACGGAGGTGACTTTATATAACAGTAGTATGTGTTCACGGAGGTGACTTTATATAACAGCAGTATGTGTTCACGGAGGTGACTTTATATAACAGCAGTATGTGTTCACGGAGGTGACTTTATATAACAGCAGTATGTGTTCACGGAGGTGACTTTATATAACAGTAGTATGTGTTCACGGAGGTGACTTTATATAACAGCAGTATGTGTTCACGGAGGTGACTTTATATAACAGTAGTATGTGTTCACGGAGGTGACTTTATATAACAGCAGTATGTGTTCACGGAGGTGACTTTATATAACAGTAGTATGTGTTCACGGAGGTGACTTTAT